TGGGGAGGGGAGGGGAAGGAAGGGTGACTGGCTCTATAAAGAGACACCAGCAGCCTTTGTTCCCTTGCAGTCCACTTGTAAGACCCCAGTCCTGGTTTATGGGCAGCTGCCTGGCCTTGAAATGCAGATGTCAGTACTGTAGAAGGCCCATCTCACAGTCTTGGAGTGCAGATGTCTGCACTAAACCAGTCACACCTGTCTCTGAAATGCAGCTTTAGGAAAGCAAACACTTACAGTCAGTAGCAAGACATTATCAGTCGCATAGCTTTGGGATGTGGTCTCAGGAGAGTAGATATCTGCAGTGAAGCAATTAGTAACAGGACACGGTCAGAGCACAGTGTTAGCTTTTGGACTGTTGCAACTCTGTGCTCCGTTTGCCAGGTTTATATGATGAGTTGTTTTAACTACAACCTCCTCTTCCATACCCCTACAAACCCTATCACTTATATCCATTTGTCAGTCACTTTCATTATCTTTCACTGTATTTTTTTTGAGTTGGAGTCTCACTCCATCGCCCAGGCTGGAGCTGGAGTGCGGTGGCACACTCACTGCCACATCTGTGTGGACCTGCTGGGCTCAGGCGATCCCTCCGCCTCAGCCTTCCAAGTAGCCAGAACTACAGGCGCGCGCTACCATGCCCCGCTATTTTTTATCTTATTGTAGAGACAAGGTCTCACCAAGTTGCTGGGGCTGGTCTCGAACCTGCAGGCTCAGACAATCCACTTGCCTCGGCCTCCCAAAGTGCTAGGATGACAGGCTGAGCCACCAAGCCCTGCCTCACAGTAGTTAACTAAAGAAATAACATCTTATGTAACTCATTAAACATTTTCATGGGTCAGGACCTAAATAAAATGAGCAAACAGAGGAAAAAACTTTACTTTTTAAAAATTCTTACTCAATAAAAAGCAAAATGAGACAATACAGAAAATTCCACTAAATTCCTAGTGACTGATGTTACTCTTAAGATTTCCATCACTAATTTCATGCTAAACATCTTAGAAGGAAAAAAAAATTCTAGCTAATAGACATGTGTTAGAATAATAGGTTTTTAAAACCTGTCTGTGAGATGAGTTGATGTGTCTTATTAGACATTGAGAAATTAGTATATTTTTCATTTTGAAAAGTTATTGGGAAGGGGTAGGGGGCACATGGCAACACACTGGATGCTAGGTCCACTATCAGGTGGAAAGAGGGCCAGCTAGAAGCCCAGACTTCACCTGCATGCAGCTTATGTATATAGCAAATCCTCACTTGTACCCCACAACTCTGAAATAAAATAAAACAACAAAAAAAATTATAGAACTCATTCAACTTATTTGGGACCCAATTCATGAGGTATACCTTTGCGTTCCAAGTGGAATCCTGCCATGCTTTCCACCTAGCAACTTACAAGTATGTACACCCCATTCTTCAAAAAACTCAAAGAATAAAACATTACATGCCATGCATTTGTCTTTATTTTTTCAAAGGTGTTCATTTTAAAGAGATGCTATCAGTTCATTGTGCTCTTCCAACATGACCCGGAAGTAGTAGTTCTCTCTTCTCAATCATAGCTTCTGATGTTCTCTCACATTTTCCATTTCTGTGCCATCAGCACAGGTAGATTGACCATGGGCGTGCCTACAGAGACAGTCTATAAAATTAGGACTTTAGGAACTGATCTCGTCTCTATATGGAGCACACCAAAAAGAAATACACATTTTAAGAAAGGAGAAAGCTGCATTAAAATTGTAATACTCGCTGTAGACCAGTAACAAAAGAGGAATATGAGTCATGTTTGACTTCTGCCATGACAAGAGGCGCTCAGAGTGGTTACCATCAGTGTCCAGATACCTCTGGTTACAACGATTGCAGGACTTTCACACATCGTACCAGGAGGCTCAAACTTATCATAAATGCGTGCAACTGTTAAGCACGTAGAAGGTTCTGTTGCATATTCACGCCCCCATTTTCCTCGTACTTCCACCGCGTTCTCGAATTTTGGATACCATTTTCAAAATGGTCTTGTGCTCCTCAAATGGCAGCCATTTTTCTGCCACTTTTTTGACTGTCCTGCCTGTTCATGGTGACGCTAGTCCTCATTTCAGTCATCTTTTGAGCGAACATCAGACTATATATTGGTACTGTAAGTCAGTTCCACTTTGAAAAGTAATGCATGGTAATATCTCTTAAAATGTGTATGCGTCTTTTGGCACCCTGGTATAGGTAAACGGTAAACCGTGAAAGTTCGTTCTCCTATTAAATGCTGCATTTAGGCCAAGAGATGTCACCATCCTGACTGCACTGATCATTACCCTTGTACTATTCGGTAAGTATTCTACAGAGTCAAGTCAGTAGAGAATAAGTATTCTTCCTTAAAGAAATTATTTTAACCGGGTTCCTCTGCTATCATTATGGACTAATAATTAGTAAGACATATACTATACTTGGTTATAAACAGATACATCCCCATGGGTCTGAAAATGTAAAAATATCCAGAAGGCAACCAGAGAAGTTTTGTTGTTTTTTTTTATTTCCACCAAAAGGTAACCATCTAAAGACCCAATTCAAGACCATACTATATTATCTTGGTCAGTACCGATTTGTTGTTTCTATGTTGTGCAAGAAGAAATATAATTGGCAATTAATAGCTATTTATCCACTTATCTATTTTCTGAAGGGCCAGGAATGTGTAAAAGAAAGTAAAATTTTAGAGTTACTTCTCAAGGTCTTCTGTTTCTTAATTCACAGACCCGAAGGTCCTATATCTTTGAATATCCCACACATAAATTGGTGATAAATGGAAATAATGTAACAAAGAAAAAAATCTGTGTACAATATAGTATGTTTCAATAGCGTGTAAAGAAACCTGTGAGATATCCAGTTGGGTAGAAAGTGTTCTTACTTGGATCTTAAAATAATAATTGGCGCAACTTCCATGTAAATCTAAGTTTTCAGGTTCATCTCAATAAAAGATAAAAATATATAACCAACTGGAATAGTCTGAACAAAAAACGGGGGCAGAGTGTCATAATTGAGAGCAAACGAAACATAAGTTACTGTTCCAGTTTCAGTGCCTCAGGTGAAGCAGCTTACAAGGAGAAATATACAAAAGAGGTTTACTTTTAGCTGTGCAGGCAACAAA